ATCAAACTATAATTTGTTAATGAAAAAGTTATTAAATTTGTCCTTTTATACTGAAAAGTAACATAGTTTTATGTTTTATTTCAGTACATTGCTTTATCTAAAATTTCTTCTGCTATGGGCCATGGTAATTTTGGCAGACTTCATTTTAGAATTCCGTTTTGAATTTTTGTGGCCATTTTGGCTACTTCTCAGAAGTGTTTACGATTCTTTCAAATATCAAGGCTTGGTAAGTAACAAGGTCACATTATTGAATTTTTTTTTAATACAATCTGTATGTATGATTATTTTTACAATAATATAAATTATTATATTTTCAGGCCTTCTCTGTATTTTTTATTTGTATTGCGCTTACGTCAGATATGATTTGTTTCTTCTTTATACCAGTACATTGGTTGTTCTTTGCCGCCAGTACTTATGTTTGGGTACAATATGTGTGGCATACAGGTAAACATATAAAACATAGATGAATATTTTTTAATCTGTAAACTGGGTATGACAAGTCAACATGTTATTTGTACTCACTTATGATTCCCACCGATTCTTACTTCCTTATACATAGAAACATTTTTAAATTTCGGTATTATTATAGATTTGATTTCTCTAGTAATACATGTACATATAAATTGTGTTAAAACAGTTCCTACATATTTGCTTATGCAAACAAAGTGATCCAGTCTGCAGATTAGATAATATTATGATTGTATTTAAACAATAAAACTAATACATGTATAATATTGTTGTTGAATAGACAAAGGTGTGTGTCTACCGACTGTGATGCTATGGTTATTATTTCTATACATAGAGGCAGCGGTTCGATTAAGAGACTTAAGGCATATGCCTTTTCATTTGGATCTTTGTCGACCATTTGCAGCGCATTGGTATATATTTATTTTTTACAATATTGAAACTTTTTTTTCTCTTAAATAATGGTAAAGCTAAATACCATTTAATACTAACTTGTTTTGAAGGTACTATGTTAATAGTATAAAATATTGTTTGTTTTCAGCATTGGTTATCCTGTAGTTACATTAGGTTTTGGTTTTAAAAGCTTTATTGGTCATAGGATGAGAGAGGTAAATGTAAAACTTGTGATAGATACCCTATACATAAAAAATTTTACAATGTCTACATGTTAACATTTATTTCACCAGAGAAAACAAAAAGATGTGGCAAAAGAAAACGAATTTTATGTACAATTATTGCAGCAAGCACTGCCTTTAGAACAACAAATTTCAACAGTGCAACAAATTCAGCAAGTTCAGTCACAATCACATGTTACCTCGTCGTTCGAGCAACATGTGAAAATACAATCTAATAAATTTTGTCCACAGTACAATCCAAGTCCTGAAAAGAGTAGAGGTAGCTTGTATTTATTTTTATCTTTCAGTTCATTGTATGCAATATTCTTAATAATTCAGCACTGTTTGATTTGATAATTGAATGTATTATAGGATGCAGTAATAACTCTGCGGAAGTAGGTATACAAAATGGTAATTTACATATAGGATCACAAATTATATCACAAGCTCAAAGTGCTACGGCAAAAAATAATCACAGAAAGTCATTAGATAAAGGTGAGAAACAAGAGGAACAACACAATAAACATAATATAACGAGTATATCACAGTCTGATAAAAATGACAAAAGGTTTATACATACTAATGGAAATACTGTCACACACAATGATATACAATTCATTGATAGGATCGGGTAAGTAATTGTCTGTGCGTCTGCTGTAAATGTATAGTATCCAGAACATTTACTAAACTCTGAAATGTAAAATACAGATCTGTGAATGATTTCGATGTGAATGATATAGAGAAAGACAAATTTATCAAAAGTGGTAACTGTGGGCACACCGCAATGAAATCACAGACTAATGGTTCTGTGACAGGGAAGTGGAATAATATTAAAGAAAGTCGAGAACCGTCGTCCACTGTTAATACACAACGGGAACGTAAAACTCGTCAGATTAAAACTCCAGTTGATAACATAAGTGAACAACAGAAACAGCAAGACGAATATTGTCAAAGGTATATCGCTTGTATTATTCAGTTACATGACAAACGATATTATAGTGTTTCAGTTTTTTGTATCCTCCTTCTGTATAATAACGAATCTTATGATGAACCTTCGAACTTGATATATTTTTATTTCTGATAAACACAACAAAAGAAGAAATTCCTTTCCTAGGTTTGAAATTTTTCACTAAAAATCTCTCATATCAAATGACAGAGCATTAAAGTTATTGTCAGATTTTTCGTTAGTGTAATCTGATATCATTTAAATAGGTTACTGATGTGTCGCAGGCTCGAGGCTGACATTAAGCGCTTGAAGTCTGACTTGCAATCCAGTAGGCAACTGGAACAGGAACTTCGTTCGCAAATAAATACTCTACAGAATGGAGAACGTCAAGCTAAGGGTGACATACAACAGCTTCAGCACGACAATGACCAGTTACAGACCAAGTGAGTAGAAGAATATTCAAAGTACACCATTGATTAAATTGGGCTGTTGAAATTACTACCTTTGTTCATAATAATAAGTAAATAATAAGAGTATTATTAGTATTGCTAGTTGTGACTGTTAGCATGACCATCAGACAACAGATTATCTGTTAAATTAAAATTCAGTACAAAGTTTGAAACAATTAGATATAAAGTAAAGTTATCACAATTTTCTCGTAAAAATATATGGAAGAATTGTTTTCGAAACTATTAAACAGTGCTTTTCTTTTTCCAATGTGTGCGCAATTTTTTTTATATTTGGGTACTTGATAGATTACATGGATTAGTAACAGCTCGTCAATTAGATAAACAAACGATGTCGTCATTGGAGAAAAGAATCGCAGAAGAAAGAAAACAGCGAACAACTTGCGAAGCGACATTAGTTTCCGAAAGACGAGCAAGACGAGCTGCAGAAGAAGCACGATCTGCAATTCCACCACCACCTCCACCACTTATCAGGCAAGAGTGCACTGAATCGTGTAAAAGTCGTAGAACGCAAATGGAGCAAGACCTTAAAAATTTACGACGAGAACTTAAAACAAAAGAAGAAAGGTACGGTAATATTATAAATATCTGCTTATCTAAAGATAAATGATATTATAAAGGATTAACATAAATTTATTTAAATAGGCATGTTTCTTCCAAGGATCATAAATTACATTACATTTCACTTAATAGAAATATAATTATAAATAGATAATGATTGATCATGTGTTTAATAATTTGATCAGTACAACGAAATGATTTTGTTACTAGGTGTAGTGCACTGGAGAAAGACGTCACACGTTGCAAGGAGAATCACAAAGAGTCTGAAATTTTACTTGGAGCACTTAATGTGCTTCAAGACAAAACTGCTCATTTAGAAGACAGTTTAAGTGCAGAAACACGTATAAAGCTCGACTTATTTTCTGTACTTGGTGAAGCTAGGCGGGAGCTAGAAGTTAAAGACAGTAAGTAACTTTTCATTTACATATTTACATATAAATTAATTAGCAAAGTTTCTACTTGAATATAAGTGAGCAAAAATATAATTGAGAAATAGCTACACATTGTATTAAATATTCTTCGAATTTGACGGGTTACAGCATATATTTTACTAAATTGAAATATGATAATTAAAATATAGTATAGGATATACTATACATCATACATTTTATGTTGAATCAGGTTTAATTAGATCTCAAGAAAAGGAAATTGAAATGCTAAAAACAAAAATAGCCCAAGATTTAGCTGTGATGCCACAAGACACGTTTGGTCCTGCGCCAACCTGTGCGACATCTAAGCTTCGGTTGAATAATGAAGTGAGAGTCGCAGTTACAAAAATACGTTCTAATGAAAGTCCCCGCCCAGGGTGTACAGTGTCGAACTTGGATCCAAACGCGACAGCATATACACCTAAGAATTCCCTGATAGCGTCTACCGAAGCTTAAAAACTACAATTTTTTGTTGTCACAATCAAGACTTTACAGAAATTGAGTATAGATTATTTAAACATGTTTCAAGTGTGTTTCTCAATGGGGATCGAAATGCGAGCTTAGATTTTACACACCATTACACTTCTTTTACTGTAATAAGAATGTTTCAATCAATATCAAATTTTTAAAATTTTTTCTAATAAATTTTCTTAATGTATTCCAGAGAAAAAAAATATATATGTACAAATATATATTATACATTTAATTTTTGTTCAAAAAGGAAATAGTATTTTGACTGGAATGGAACTTTTTCTATTTTAATTCTATAAAAATTGAAACTTCTAATTCTCTTGAGATCTATATAGAATATTTATACATATAATTTTTTACTGAAGATCAGTATATAGTACTTTTTCATACATCTTTCGAGTTGAGTGCTTTAGAGATGATCTTTCAATGTCTTCCATGAGAGACTTCTAGAAACATGTTTGCATCTGATTTGTCATCTGAAATGACACATTGTTATTAACTATACATGACCATAGGACGCGGCTACTACTGGGTTTAAAAATATTTAAAAAGTTAGTTGCGTCCTGTTAAACATGCTGTAGGTTGATCTTGCAGGTGCCCATCTCATTTATTCCATACATATGACAGAAGTATTCGAAAGTTAGCAACCAACATGGAGCAAAACAATAACATATACATAATCCAATCATCGTAGATAATCATTGACCTTTATATTAAACTTAGTACTTCTACGTAGATTTTATATATAAAATATTTTCTGCTGAGATTGCATTAAATATTACTGTGTGCGATTCATGAAAGAAGGAACGTTGGAAATTTCAAATTAATATATTTTATTAATTTTTTATAGTGCTTCAGTTGTAACATTTTTCAAAACACCGTAATTATAGATAAAAAGGAATGTGAAATAGCATTAAATTCGATCAGCGTGTTAGTAGCGCTTATTTCTTACTTACTAGAGAACTATGAAAAAGACTAAAAGAATTTAGTATGTACGTGATCTTCCTACAGCATACGCCTAAATCTATGACGACTTGTTGTAGGCACAAATCTTTCTCAAGTCGTAATACGAAGCTAGTCCAGCATACAAACTGTATTTAATGTCTTTGGCAAATGAAGCCATTTTAAGTCATGTGATCATCCAGAACCAGCCATTAATATACATTGAAAAAACCTGCCGTTGTTCGTCATTCAAGAAGATTGATATAAAATGTCAGAACGCCAAATTCATTTTTTTAACGATCGTCATTATATCGATACTCTTATTTCTGTACTTTTTTAATATTTTTAAATGCCTATAATTTGTTAGTTTAGCGATATATTTTGTGTATTGGCTTTCGAACGGTATAAAATAAGCGTTAAAATATTTTATAACTCGTTTTCCGAGATGTGTACAGTTTTAATGTGATAACTAAAAGGATTCGTAAAACTTGTAAAGTTAATGAGAAGGCAAAAAAAGTTTGTTTTAATTCGAAAGTTTGTGGCTTAAGTAAATA